CACACACACACACACACACACACTTGGTGCTTTAACAGGGCCAATTTCACAAAGCTGAAAACAATTATGAGCCAAATCAGTTGGGAGGAAGAATTTAATCAGAAAAATGTGAATCACAATTGGGAATTGTTTTAGAACACTTTACTAGATGCCCACAAAGTCGGAATGCCATATTAGTTAAAAATATAAATCTGATCTACAGGGGAAGTGAAGGAAGCTGTAAACGCCCCCCCAAAATCATAACAAATGGAAGAAAGGGAAAATTGATAGGGGAGGGTGGCCCTGCTCTTTCCGGCCAGCCAGAGCGCCGAGGGGAGGGCGGTGAGCCCATCCGGGGCCCCGCTCTCCCCGACCGGCTGGAGTGCCGGGAGGAGGGCGGAGAACCTGGCCGCGACCCCGCTCTCCCCGGCCGGCAAGAGCGCCGGGGGAGGGCGGCCCTGCTCTTCCCGGCCAGCCGGAGCACCGAGGGGAGGGCGGTGAGCCCAGCCGTGGCCCCACTCTCCCTGGCCGGCCGGAGCGCCGGGAGGAGGGCGGAGAGCCTGGCCCCGGCCCCGCTCTCCCCGGCCGGTCAGAGCACCGGGGGAGGGCGGCGAGCCCGGCCGCGGCCCCGCTCTCCCCGGGTGAGCGCCGCCCCCCTCCAGGTGCCGCCCCAAGCATATGCTTGGAGGGCTGGTGCCTGGAGCCGGCCCTGGTAATGAGTATAATTCATAAGCTAGAAACGGTAGAAAATCAATAAGGGAAGCAAAGGGACACAAAGAGAAACTTATGGCCAGCAGAGTTACTGACATTAAGAACTTTTTTTAGGTATACTAGGAACAAAAAGAATCCTGACAATAGTGTTGATGCATTACTAGATGGAAATGGTAGAATTATCAATAATAATACCGAAAAGGCGAAAGAATTCAATAAATATTTCCATTCTGTTTAGGTTAACAAAGAGAAGGATAAGGGGTGACTTGATTACAGTCTGTATGTACCCACATAGGGAATAAATAATAATGGCTCTTCAGTCTAGAAGAGAAAGGTATAACACAGTCCAATGGCCGGAAGTTGAAGCTAGACAAATTCAACTGGAAATATAGCAAACAATTTTAACAGTGAATGCAATTAACTTTTGGAACAATTTATCAAGGGTCATGGTGAATTCTCCACCACTGACAAATTTTTAAATCAATCTTGGATATTTTTCTAAAAGATTTCCTCTAGGAATTATACTGGGGAAGTTTTATTGTCTGTGTTTTACAGGAGGTCTATCTAAATCAAGGGTAGGCAAAATACAGCCCGGGGACTGCATCCAGCCCTCCAGACGTTTTAATCCGGCCCTCTAGCTCTTGCTGGGGAGCGGGGTCCGGGGTTTGCCCTGCTCCGGCGCTCTAGCCGGGGAACGGGATCATGAGCATTCATGGCCCGTCATACAATTTCCATACCCAGATGTGGCCCTCGGGCCAGAAAGTTTGCCCAGCCCTGGACTAGATGATCACAACGGCTCCTTCTGGCTTTAGAATCTATGAATTTATGGAAAGTCACAAACACTTTTGAAAATGTTATCCTTAGTCCATATATAAGTGTCTGCAAGAGGAATTTTCAAAAATACCGAAATGAGAAGCCCCAGTGACCTTAAGATACTTTAGCCTCTTATTTCTGAAAATTTTAGTCAGGATCTCTAAAGCTGTGGTAGCTAGAGCTCAAGGGCAGCGGGGCGGGGGAGCAAAGCGGGTTTAAAACAAGTTTAAGGTTTTATGGAAGAGGTACAGGTCTCTGAAGGATTTTTTGTTTGCTGTGTTTTAAGCAGAGCGGCTCTATGAAACCTAGAAATAAGAGGACAGTATTACACAGAAAACCCACAAATGTTTCCTATCTGTGACTGTAAACGAGGACTGTTAATTAGGTTGAGAGCAAGCATATAAACAGTAAATATCCACTGCTTTAGGCAGGGCCGGCTCCAGGCACCAGCCCACCAAGCTTGTGCTTGGGGCGGCACCTGGAGGGAGGCGGCGCAGTGCTCCGGCCACCAGGGAGAGTGGAGCTGCAGTGGGCTCGCCGCCCGCCCCCCGGCGCTCCAGCCGGGCTCGCCGCCCTCCCCTGCCACGCTGGGGGGGGGGGGAAGAGCGGCGGGAGGCTTTTTTGCCTTGGGCAGCAAAAAAGCCAGAGCCGGCCCTGGCTTTAGGTACTTTGGGAAATATTTAAAAACACACAACTTAAACAGCAATAAAAGGAGCTGCCTATTTTCACCTACAAAGCCAGAGTTATTCATCCAACAAAGAGTCAGAGTATCCACCCTCCCTCCTAAAGTTGCAGTTCTTTCACAGTGTCCACCAAAAGTGACAAGCAAAAAACCCGCCAGAATTCTCCCATCAACCTAATGCTGTCTACATCAGGGGTTAGGCTGGTTTAATAGCGTCGCACAGGAATGTGGATTCTTCATATCCCTGAGTGACAAAGTTTTACAGACCTAGTTTCCTAGTGTAGACCAGGTCTGAATCTTTAAAGAACTCTAAGCTGGATTCTGGCTACTCTTATAAGTTGCTACTTACTTATTATGACTAAAGGTCCCAAAATCTGGAGATTTTATGAAGAAAGTGAAATGATTCAACTGGTCTATTTCATAAATATGCACTGCTTCATTTGTATATTTCGTCTCTCTAGTTTTAAGGATTATTTTTTAATTTACTACTCCTGCTCCTCAATTGTTCTGCTACCATAATAGCCAGGCTATCATAAAAGTCCATACAATATATAATATTAGGAAGCACTTAGGGAAAATTAAGCAGAAAAACAAGCTGAAGTTAACCACCTGGCTCTATGATTTCAAAAATATATTTGCTGCAACGTGATCACAGAGCTTTTTGCATCTCAGTAATCAATTAAAATCAGACTGGAGACAGCACTCAAGAATATGCAACAGGAAAGAAAACAGCACTGGTAGAGAGAGGAACAGAATGGCCTAATATTTTAAGACTTTTCCAGCTACAATTTCTGTGCTCATTTAGGAGGAGGAGAAGATAAAAATATAGAATCATACCTTCATATAGTGTTTGAAGATATCTGCTGCTGCATGCATGTCTACAATATCATAGATAATAAGTTTGCTAAAGGCTGCCAGAAGGTTCCTTCTTTTATGTAAAGCCTCTATTTTGTTAGCTTCATCTTCTTCATCTCCCTCTAAATACAGTAAAGAAAATATTTATTAACATCTGCTGTTTTCTAAGGGAACACAAAACCCTATTATTTTTGTTTAATAAAATCAACAGTTTTTGTAAAATTAAACTCGCCAAAAATATATCTAGCGTACTTTCAGGAGAAACTAAAACCAAAAAGAGTGAAACTCAAGCTGTTTTTTTGTTAACGATCTTGGCAAGTGAACAATTCGCAGATGCTTCTTTAATCTGGTTGCATTGAACCTATGCATTTCACATATGAACAATCAGAAATAACAATCACATTGCAGAATGATTTTTGCAACAAAATCTTTAGGAGATGCTTTGATTTGACATTCCTGGCACTCCAAAATAGGAACAAATAATAGAAGAGAAATGTCAGTTGATTATGAGAAACATTATGAGAAACATAAAATGCAACACAAGCAAACCGTCTGTGAATGAAAATAACAAGATATAATAATCAAACACGTGAAAATAACAGACCAGGACATAATAAATGAGATTCCACCAATTTGGTAAAAAAGTATGTTAGTTGCAAATATTGAGAACAGTGATCACTTCACCGTAGAGTGAATTCAACCAGATGAAAAAAACACAATTGGTATATAAAAGGGGGCATTTACCTTTTGTAACACCTGTTCTCTAACTATATTGCCTCTACTGAACCAGCTACTTGGGCACAGAACCTTTTCAAACAGTAGTGATGGGCAGGGTCATGTGCATGTCCCTCAAGCCCTGGTTGCTCTGGGCCAAGGGTATGAATAGGACCCCACCAATGTTCCTCTAATTCCCTCTGCCTTCAACTCAAGTTGCAGTTGCGCCCTGAAGAAGAGAAGGCTTGAAGGGTCAGAGTTGCTTTGTGGAGGCAGTACTGCTGCCTAAGCTTGCCAACCTAGCAAGGAGGGGTTTAACCTAGGTTCAAAGGGGGCAGGTGACAAAAGTCCACAGGTAAGTATAAAAAATGATGACCTTAACAAAGGATTAGATGTGAGATATCTTGATTTTGGTAAGGCTTTTGACTCAGTCCCACATGACATACTCATAAGCAAACTAGGGAAATGTGGTCTAGATGAAATTATTATAAGGTGGGTGCATGACTGGCTGAAGGACCATATTCAAAGAGTAGTTATCAATAATTCACTGTGAAACTGGGACACGCAGGAGTCAGTCCTGGGTCCAGTACTATGCAATATTTTCATTAATGACTTGGATAATGGAATGGAGAGTATCCTTATAAAATTTCAGATGGCACCATGCTGGGAGGGGTTGTAAGCACTTTGGAGGCCAGGATTAGAATTCAAAACAACCTTGACAAATTGGAGAATTGGTCTGAATTCAACAATTCAATATAGACAAGTGCAAAGTACTACATATCGGAAGAAAAAGTAAATGCACAATTACAAAATGGAGAATAACTGGCTATGTGGAAGTACTGCTGAAAAGGATCTGGGGTTTCTAGTGGATCACAAATTGAATACGAGTCAACAATGTGATGTAGTTACAAAAAAGACTAATATCATTCTGGGGTATATTAACAGGAGTGTGGTATGTAAGTCACGGGAGGGAACTGTCCCACATTCGTTGGCACTAGTAAGGCCTCAGCTAGAGTACTTGAGAAGGGCAAGAAGGGCAGAACCTCTGATCTCAACAGGTTCTTCTGAGAGGGATCCATGGATAGGGATTGGAGGAGGGGATTGAGAGGAGGAATAATTTTGAATTCTATTGGATACTTGTGAATAATTTCTAAAATTACTTGTCTGTGGTAATAGAAGTTTAGAAGTTAGATGCAGATGGTCTCCAAATGGAATGAGACTAGATTAAAATTGGATCACAACTCTCAGGCATTATGTCAAACTTAGGACCTAAGGCCTGGCACAGTAGATTGTGAAGATAATTGGTTCACCTCCTGTTTGTGGTTTGGTTTGTGGTTTAAAGCTCCATCTCTTTTGCTTAGAAGACTGTTGAGGATGATATTGTTGATGATAACATTGTCTCCTTTGGGTAATGTATGAGGAAGAGGAAGATGATTAATTCTGTTGTGTTGGTACCTGAAAACTGATATTCCAGGTCTCTTCCTGGACTGCTGATAAATGCCCAAGAGTCTAGTGCTGTACCTGCTCCTTCATTTTTCCAGAAACTCATCTGTTCTGGAACTGAACAATCCTTTTCCCTAAAGGGGAGATCATCTACCTTGGAGTTGGTTTCAGAGAAAGCCTGAAGATCTAAGCCAAACATACCTTCCAATGGAAATTGCAGAAGTTACAATTCTAACTGCAGAACCTGAAGAATCAAACAATGCTCTCGGGGCAGGTTTCACAACTTAATGTCCCTCTGGCATATGTGAGTTTTCTCTGTTTATTTTGGAGAGATTTGGTCAACACTGACATTTCCCCCCAAAGATAATAATGGTAGTGTGTCACTATAGCTTGGTAATTTATTACCCTTAAACCTAAAATAGAGGAAGAGAGACTTTTCTCCCCAGTAAATCCAGACTTATTTGAAGAAATAGAATGCACCTGTCCATTTTTAGATCTTTGTACAGCCACCTCTACAACCAAAGACTTCATGGCTGGATGTGGGGAAATATGAGAAATTGTCTTGGAGCATGTGGTACAATTTGTCTGCCTTTTTAGACATCACCTGAACAGAATCTGTACTTGACCAGATTAAATTTTGCAGGTTGTAGAAAACCATCTAACCCAGGCAGTGAAACTCTATCAGAAGAGCAAAGACCAAGGATGTCAAAGACTGGGTATATGAATTCTCCGCTATTGAGGTGGTTGGTAATTTGCGAGTAGTTGCCATTCCTTCCATTAACTCATGAAAAGCAACAGAATTTTCAGATGGAGAGGATGCAGAAGTCACCCTCACATTTTCATCAGGAGATGCAGGATTGTCAAATTCAGGATCTGTCTCCTGATATTTTTGCACAACAATCTGCTCCTTTACTATGGTAGGAGATCACTCTCTCCTTATGTTTCATACACAGATCAGATATCTTCATATCTGAAAAGAGATACAGAGAGCAGAAGGCACGGTTGTGAGGCACAAGTATTAGCTACACTTTAATGAAGTTTTTCTGAAAGTGAATACTACATAGCACAGCTGTTGGGAAGAGCAAAATTGGTATTAGGAGTAGAACAAGTAAATAATATTTAGCTATAATATAGCACTTTACATCTTCAAAGCACTGTTCAAACAACAGTTGTTAACTAGAACATGACACCTGGATGCTGAAAAGCAATACTATCTGATCTGTCCTCTTTCACAGTTAAAGGAAATGCTTTGTTCCTTCCACAGGAAGAAAGGAACATAGACAGACAGGGAAGAAGGACAGCTTCATCTTTAAATCCTTTCTTAAAATTCACCTCTATTGTGATGCCTGCGAAACATTAAATGGCGAGGCTCTGATGTGCTGTGACTGCTGTTTATTACACTAATTGTAATCGTCTCACCTTGTGCTCTCCTTGCTAGCTGCTTCTTGCACCACCTGTTATCTCTCACCATGTGAACTATTTAGGGAAGGGACCACTTTTTCATAGATTTATTGAGTTTATAGCCAAGAAAGGACCATCTAGTCCGACCTTCTTTAAATCAAAGGCCATTAAATTTCACCCTGGATTGAGCCTAATAACTTATGTTTGACTAAAGTGCATCTTCCAGAAAGGTATCTGGTCTTGAACATAGATGCATTAAAAAAAATTACAACAATGAAGGAAGAATGCTATTACAGGTGTATGCCATGGCAATTTATACTTTCCCCCATCCTCTGAATGAAAATGCTCTATGAAATTTCATTTTATAACATTGTTATCTGTTGTAAAGGTGTGCAGGACTACTGATCATGTACCAACATTTATCTCCAAAGAAAGCAAGAGGCAAAAACAAGAACTTCATATGATACATTTAGGTGCACAGATTTGTATTTTTTCCTGACAGTCCTGTGTGTCAGGTGAGAGAGGACAAGTACAAAATGTGATGGCTAAACATACATACCCATGCTCTGGTTCTCATCATCTTGGTCAATGAAGACATGGTCCATCACAAAGCTAAGGAGTTCAGACTGGAGCCCAGAGTCTGGATTGAACACCAAAGGTTGAAGACCCTCTCTACCTCCAGTCATCAGCTGATGGCTAAAAATCATCAAGAGATCACAGAGCAGCATGAAAGCCTGAAACACAAAGTTACTGCATTCAGTTAACCCATAAGGGTCAAGATAATTTTAAAATATAAATATGCTGTTTATATAATTTCTAGACATTTTCCCACCACTAAGTGGTAATTGCCCTTCTGTAACAATGCAGAGTTGTGATAGTTTGATACTCTTGGGTCCATGCTTTGTGAAGGAGATCACAGGGAACTTCTATAACTCTTAAGTTTTACACCTTTGACTTCTGACAGGATACTGTTTGCCAGCTTTCCAGTGGCATAAGGTGGACCCCCACTACCTTGAACTGCCAGTTCTTTGTTACTGAAACAAACAAATTAGAATTGGAAAAAGGAAAATGAGAGTTAACAAAACTTCCAACACTGAGATGAGTGGTGGGTTAGTGAGTGAAGATCTAACTGTTGTTTATCTTACAAGAACAAAAGATCAAAAGTGCCCAGTTTTCCTTGAAATCCATGGAAGATGCACATGCTCATTTGCAGAGATGAGTAGGCACCGGGTAATTATCTCTTCTGCAGAGATACATACTGTGACAGATCCGTACTCTGTGTGACAGACCCAGACCAGTGGGGTACAGGAGTCTGGAAGAGGGCAAATATACTGGTCACTGGATGAGTAGTTTTCTGTTCCCTGAGTGACCAGAGCAGGGGCTGCACTACAGTAATCAGGAACCTGCTAGAACCAGTTAAGGCAGGCAGGCTAATTAGGACACCTGGAGCCATTTAAGAAGAAGCTGCTAGAATCAATTAAGACAGGCTAATCAGGGCACCTGGGTTTTAAAAGGAGCTCACTTCAGTTTGTGGTGCTTGTGAGGAGCTGGGAGCAAGAGGCGCAAGGAGCTGAGAGTGAGAGGGTGTGCTGCTGGAGCACTGAGGAGCACAAGCGTTATCAGACACCAGGAGGAAGGTCCTGTGGTGAGAATAAGGAAGGTGTTTGTAGGAGGCTATGGGGAAGTAGCCCAGGGAGTTGTAGCTGTCATGCAGCTGTTACAGGAGGCACTATAGACAGCTGGAATCCACAGGGCCCTGGGCTGGAACCTGGAGTAGAGGGTGGGCCCGGGTTCCCCCCAAACCTCCCAATTGACCTGGACTGTGGGTTCTTCCAGAGGGGAAGGTTTCTGGGCTGTTCCCCAACCCACATGGTGAATCTCTGAGGCAAGAAAATCCGCCAATAAGCGCAGGGTCCACCAAGATAGAGGAGGAACTTTGTCACATCTGACACTCTATAGCTCCCGGAGGATTTCAGTAAAATATGCAACAGTGAAGTAACCATAATAATACCTAGATTTTCATCCATAGTTCTTAAAGTGTTTGCAACAAAGGCAAGTATTATTTTACAGACGGGGAAACTGTGGTACACAGAGTTGAAATGACTTGCTCGGGATCACCCAGCAGGCAGTGAGTCCAAGTCACTTGAGTTCCATACTAGAGTTCTATCCACTAGACTGCACTGCCCCCCTAAAGTTAAGATGCTACAACAGGGGAAACCGGAGATAAAAGATAGAATGTACGTTGGTGTGATGTTGCACTCCATAATGCTTTATAGGAATATGCTTATGAGTGTAAATATGATATAACTGGAATATGTTTTATGCTAGATATGCCATGTAACATATTTCTGCAAAGGTTATTTATGATCTACTAAATATATTCATCCTATTTGTATGCGTGTATTATTTTTGTATTTGAAGTTATGAATATTGGCTATGTACTTGTTTGATTTTAAGTAGCCTCAGTGAGGCATTTGGTCAGCTTCTTGAGAAAAAACTATTCTCAGTAAGTGCCCAATCAAGAAACACTTAAGCTAACAATGGACCTTGATAAGACACCAATCCACATCTGAGCTTTCCTGGGAACTCCTGTAGAAAACGGAGTCATGCATGGAGATGTGATTTGCCCATGTGACACCAAAACTCCATATTGTAGCTGGATTCTACACAGGGGGAGAGAGGGGTTTCCACCCACAAAAGAGAGACTATATATGCCCCTGAAAACCACTCCATTTGGTCTTCAGCTGGCACAAAAGATAGCCTCTCCACCCAAGGAGATGTCTGAAAGAAACTGGAACATAGGACAGTAACTACAGGGGTGTGAGGGATTGCTGGACCTAGACTAGGAGGAAGTCTAGTCTGTAAAAGAGGCTTATTATAACATCTCTGAGGGTGAGATTTACCTGCATTTAGTTTTTACTGTATTAGGCTTAGACTTGCATGTTTTATTTTATTTTGCTTGGTAATTTATTTTGTTCTGTCTGTTATTACTTGGAACCACTTAAATCCTACTTTTTATATTTTATAAAATCACTTTTTACTTATTAATTAACCCAGACTAAGTATTAATACCGGGGGGGGGGGGGCAACAGCTGTGCATATCTCTCTGTCAGTGTTATAGAGGGCGAACAATTTATGAGTTTACCCTGCATAAGCTTTATACAGGGTAAAATGGATTTATTTGGGGTTTGGACCCCATTGGGAGCTGGGCATCTGAGAGCTGGAGACAGGAGCACTTCTTAAGCTGTTTTCAGTTAAGCTTGCAGCTTGTGGAGAATGTGGTTCAGACTTGGATCTGTGTTTGCAGCAGGCAAGCATGTCTGGCTCAAACAAGGCAAGGTACTGAAGTCCCAAGCTGGCAGGGAAAACGGGCTCAGAGGTAGTCTAGGGACATCAGGTGGCAGTCCTAAAGAGGTTTCTGTGATCCAACCCGTCACAATTGGTTCAAAGAATTACATCAAAACTAAAATAATGAGAGGGATAAGTTGCCTCTAAAAAAATTAGGTAGAAAAACTAGAATGACACCCAAAATGAAATAAATTATGAGGGAATGGATGAGTTAAGGCACTAGTTTGGGAAAAGGATAAAAAAAAAAAAACACTGCTAACTAAGCAAATCCTTGATTCTTGCTGTAAGCCTGAGTCTCAGCCATAATTCTTTGTAATAGATATCTATGTTGTTGCCCTAAATCTTCTAGATAAAAACTGTTTGAAGTTGGCTGCAGAAGATGACAGTTCTAGAACAAAACTGAACTTCACATGTTCTTGAATATGCCGGCTTGCCAATGATATATGCATTTACTGCTTTTTTAGGCACTGATTCCCTGGAACAAAAGGAGGGGAGGTTAGTTATTAGTAAGGCTGTGATTCTGTCACTGATTCCGTGACTTTCCGCGACCTCCGTGAATACTACAGCTGCAGCAGCCAGTGTGGCTGACCCTGGGGCCAGCTGCTCGGGCACTCCACGGCCAGTCGCTGCTGGAGCGGCCATGGGGCCAGCCGCACCGGCTGCTGCTGTAATGTCCCTGGGCAGCTGGCCCCGGAAGGCACCCACGAAGCAGTCCCGGGGAGTGCCCCAGCAGCAGTGGTCCTGGGAGTGGCCAGAACAGAGGCCCCACGGAGCACCCAGCATCAGTTCCAAGGGTGGCCCCGGGGACCACCTGAGCAGCAGCAGTCCCAGGGGTCATCGGGAGAGTGGTCCCCTGGGGTCTCAGAGTAGTGGGCCACCAGGGGCAATCAGCCCCCACCGCTGGAGCAGGGGCCCCCCAGAACAGTGGGGCCCAGGAGTAGAGATTTAGTCATGGATATTTTTAGTAAAAGTCATGGAGAAGTCATGGGCTGTGAATTTTTTATTTCTTGTGACCTGTCCATGACTTTTACTAAAAATACCATGACTAAATCTTATCCTCAGTTATCAGTGTCAGGAGCACAGCTGGCTCCCAGCTTCATCACTAGGCAACCCAGCAAGCTCAGCTGAGCACAATGAGCCTTCTCCAAATGACCATGCTTCCTGATGGGGCAGAAGAGCTTGCGGCCCACTACATGAGCCTTGAAGTGGCAGCAGTAGCTCAGTGCGTACCACACCCCCAGCTGTGCTTGTGCCTTCCTCCTGCCTCCAGCCCTTGTTCCAGCTTTCACCCCAGCTCCAGTCTAGTCTTTGGCTCCCAGCCCTTCTCCTGACTCTGGTTCTCACCCTTGGCTTGGCTCCTCAACCCTGATTCTGGCTTCACTCTCTGCTGATATCTGGCTCCTAGATGGACGCTCAACACTATTCCAAACTGCCACTGCAACCACCAAATAAGGTCCCACTCCACCCTAAGAAGGCCGCCCACACCCTGGCAGCTTACAGTTTGAACAGTCCACAAGGACCAGAAGTAGGGAGAGTCACACTTTGAGAACAGAATGCAGTCCTTCAGGCTCAGGTATACAGGCCAGGATGGTGCCCGTGAGCTCCCAGCCCTCACACCTGCTACCTGAGAGCCCAAGGTCCCCCTATCTGACAATTTCATTGGAGACTGTCCCAATTCTGGGTTTTTTCAAATTAATGTCACCTGCTCTTCACACTTTGACTGCTATCATACCCCACAGACTGTTCCTAAGCAGGACTTGTGATTAGCCTGCTTACCAGAGAGGCCCTAGTATAGGCCTCCCACTATTGGAGGCGTCTAACCCTCTTCTTGAGTATTTTTGATGACCCTAACAGAGAGCGCACTGCAGAAGCTGCACTCCAAGCCCTCTGACAGAGGTTCCAGCCTATCGGCAGATAGGCAGCCATGTTTCAATGCCTGGCAGCCAATCCCTGCTGGGATGAGGTCGTGCAACAAAATCACTTCCAGCAAGGACTCAATGATCCTTTTAAAGATGAATTACCTCAGGTAGAACCCCCATGTACCTTAGGGGGCCCTGATCAAGCTGTGCATTAGGATTGAAAACTGGCTAACGGAACAAGAGCACGAAAAAAGTGCAGCCCCTGACCCTCATCAAACTGGACCTTTCTGTCATATGAAACTCTGGGTAATCCAATGGACCCCAAGGTGATGCAGGTCGATCAAGTACCGGTGCTTGGCTCTAGGATTCTGTTTGTACTGCGAGGAATCCAAGCATTTTGCAGCATGGTGCTGAGCCAAGAATCAAAATCCCTCCAGGTTGGGAAATGCCAAAACACAATCCCGGGGAGGGGGGAAAGAGGGGGTCCGGGGCTGGGTCAGTGTTTCACATCACGTCACAGTAAGCCA